TGGGAGTGAGCAGCAGTCCGGGGGGGGGAAGGTACAAGGAGGGACCCTGAAAGATACAGGAGGAAGACACAGGACAGACCAGTTCCCAGGGCAGGTAGTGTGGGAGCAGACTTAACCTGGGAAATGTTAAGAGGGAAAGCCATGAGGGACTGACAGGTGTTTTGTGTGGAGGAAACATTGATATCTACCCTCTCAGAGGCCTGAGGCTGTGCAGCCAGAAAGGACCTTAGCACTGCCTGCCCTTTCTCCGTGTCCCTGTTTGCCTTCACTCCTCACCTATGCCCCTTCCTCTCGTCTAAATCTCAGCCCTCCACACTCCATCCCTCCCTTTCTGAATCACACATCCACCTACCCTTATAATCTCTGTTTTGGACCTGATCTCTCTCTCTCTCTCTCTCTCTCTCTCTCTCTCACACACACACACACACACACACAGTCTCTAGTGATCCCTGAAGCTGTGATGCTGGAAAGCGACATGTTGACACACAAATCAGGATATGTGCTGGAAGGCAGGTGGCCATCTGCCAGCCCTCCGCCCCCAGAGAGGCAGAGGGAGGAGAAGGATCCAGCATGGTCCTGGATGCAGAGACAAACTGCTGAGACCCAGAGAGAGTCAGAGAAGCCCTAACCGTGAACAGCAATGGGACAGGTCCCAAGGCATCTTCAGGACCACAGAGGCTGGCCGGCCAAGAGCTGGCAGGCAGCCTTGAACCCAGCTCCTGTGGCAGATAAGGCACCCCACAAGGTGCATCTCCTGAGAGCCACATTCAAGCTGGAGATGGAAGGATAAGGAGGAGTGAACGGAAAGGGGTAGAGAAGGGAGTGTGGGGTGGCTGTGAGAGGAAGGAGTTCCTGAAGGGCAGCCCGGCAGAAGATGTGAACTGGGTGGGGAAGGGGCAAGAATCTGAGTAGATGAGAGAGGAAATTGCTGGGAGGAATGGGAAAGAAGGGAGGGGACAGCTAGGTAGAAGGACCAGGGACAGGGGTGGCAGGTGAAGGTGTGGAGTGGTGGTGGCTGGAGAGGGGCACCCAGGCCAAGAAAGAGAGAATAGCAAGAGGATAGGAGGAGAGTGGGTGGGGAGTACAGGGAAGACGTGGGAGCCCCTCCCCAGCTGCCTGCTAATTAACTCCTTAATTGTCTCTGTATTTGCTGAGCCGGCAGACAGAGTGGATGCCGACAGATTGGGGCGCCTGCGATTTCACGCATGGGGAGCGAAGAGGAGCTGCGAGGAGTCCCGGGGGGCTTTGTCCTCCCTCTGCCCGCCCTCCCCACCCCTGCTGTTTAAGAAGCTGGAGAGAGCTTCTGCACCTAGAGCAGATGGGGCCATCTGCCAGGGAAGCAAGCATGGGGGACCTGCTCCCCCCCATTCCTGACCGTTCTTGCCAGGACACCTACTGTTTTATTAGCAGGCGTCCCCCTCCCTGCGTGGGCCTTGGATGGATTTTACGGCTTGTGGAAAAAGAGGGAGTTCCTCGGGCAGGCTGTGTTAACCGTCCAAGCAACACACAGCATCAGTACAAGAGCTGGGGTTTGACTTCAAGTCAACCCAATGCCTGGATTGTAGTCCTGGCTCTGCTTCCGGTTCTAGGGCCCCATTACTGCGCAGCCTCGAAGGCAGACGGTCCCAGCCTCCCAGGTAAGAGGTCTGGATGGAACCGGATGTGGGATGCTGCCTGGCCCATCCCGAAGCGGCCATTTGGAGAGAGAACCAACAGATGGAAGATTATTCTCTCTGCGTGTGTGTGTCTTTCTGCCTTTCAATAAAATAGAAAACATTTTTAAAAGATTTATTTATTTTGGGCCCGGCAGCGTGGCCTAGTGGTTAAGGTCCTCGCCTTGAAAGCCCAGGATCCCATATGGGCACTGGTTCTAATCCCGGCAGCCCCACTTCCCATCCAGCTCCCTGCTTGCGACCTGGGAAAGCAGTAAAGAATGGCCCAAGGCTTTGGGACCCTGCACCCATGTGGGATACCCAGAAGTTCCTGGTTCCCGGCTTTGGACCAGTGCAGTACCGGCCGATGCGCTCACTTGGGGAGTGAATCATCGGATGAAAGATCTTTCTCTCTGTCTCTTCTTCTCTCTGTATGTCTGACTTTGTAATAAAAATAAACACATCTTAAAAAAAAGAGATGTATTTATTTTTATTGGAAAGTTAGACATACAGAGAACACAGACAGACAGGAAGATCTTCCGTCTGTGGTTTCACTCCCCAAGTAGCCACAACAGCTGGAGCTGAGCCAATCTGAAGCCAGGAGCCAGGAGCTTCTTCCAGGTTTCCCACGTGGGTGCAGGGTCCCAAGGCTTTGGGCCATTCTTTACTGCTTTCCCAGGTCGCAAGCAGGGAGCTGGATGGGAAGCAGGGCCACCAGAATACGAACTGGTGCCCATATGGTAGCCTGGTACGTGCAAGGCGAGGACTTTACCCACTAGCCTACCATGCTAGGCCCCCCCCCCCAAAATAATTTTTTAAAAAGCTTGGGGGAAAAAAAAACCAGCTTCTTAAGGTGGGTCTGTGGTACCCTTGAGTCAGATCTGTAGCTTCTGAAAGTTAAAAGCTTCATCTGCTTGTCCCATGTGGATAGAGGACTCAAGCACTCAACCCTAGCCTCAGTATTTTGAAAACCTCTGCAGGTGTTTCAAACCAGTGTGAAGATCCCTGTCTCAGAACCTGCCCTGAGCGGTCGTGCTGCTGCATACAAACACCAAAGTTAATACTAAGTTATTTACTCACAGGGACTTTACTAAATACAAGCCAATGTACTGAGCATTGTCATGCATTAGCCTGTATAATCCTCAAAAAGTCATTTGAGGGCCCAACATGAGAGCTAGTGGCTAAAGTCCTCGGCTTGCATGAGCTGGGACTCCATATGGGTGCTGGATCGTGTCCCGGCTACTCCACTTCCCATCCAGCTCCCTACTTGGGGCCTGGGAAAGCAGTCGAGGACGGCCCAAAGCCTTGGGACCCTGCACCCATGTGGGAGACCCAGAAGATGCTGCTGGCTCCTGGCTTCAGATCAGTTCAACTCCAGTTGTTGCAGCCACTTGGGGAGTGAACCAAAGGATGGAAGATCTTTGTTTCTGTCTCTCCTCCTTTCTGCCTTTCCAATAAAAATAAATGAATCTTCTTTTAAAAAATCATATAAAATTCGCAATATTCGCATCATTTAGCTAAGGATTTGCTCCTGCTCCTGACCCACCTGGTTCCTGCCTCCCCAGCCTCCCGATGCTGCCTGTCGGCCTCCAGCAGCCCTCGCCTGCCTCCACTCCCCTCATCACCTCTCCTCCGCCCCCGCTGCTCCTTCAGTAACTCCCAGGTGACTGAAGCAATTTGCAGCCATTTGAAGAGGCTCCACGTGTCACTCAGCCTGGCAGTGTGGGGAGGTGGGGAAATCTCAGATGCTCCAAGACGCTCCTCCGCCCCTCGCCCCTCAGAGAACGTCAGGAATCCAAGGGTCAGGCCCGGGGTCGGGTACTCGTGCTCAGGTCCCCTTTGGAGACCCTCCCTGGCAGATGCCCACTCCTAAACGCCCCCAGAGATGCTGATGTGTCTGGGAGTGTGCTGCCACCCAGCGGCTGCCCGGACACGCAGCCTGGCCGCACTGCCTGGTGCTGCTGGACAGCTCCCCGGCCGGACCGTCCCCGGGGCCGCTCAGACCTCCTTCCAGCTCTCTTCTTCCCGGCTTCTTGCCAACCCGTCGCCACTGTCTTTCCTCCAAACTTAGCCAACTTCCCTCCTCTACGGTATCCCCTTCTCACGGGAGGCTTTTTTTTCCTTCCAGTTTAAAGCCTTGGACCCCTGACCCTGGGTATGAGCCGCTAGTCTTCCCTCTCCCACCCTGGACAGGGCCAACCCAGCCAGTCAGTGGAAGCCAAAAGCAGCTAGGGATGCAATTCTTGCACCTCAGAGCTCATCCTCTGACACCGTCAGACCTCGACAGCCGCTAAGAGGCCCTAATGAGTATCAGCAAATTAACAACTTCCCCTTGATTGTGGCTTCTGTGTTAATTGGACAAGGAGCCCCCCTCCCCTGCCCCGCCTCTCCAAGAAGAGGGAAGAAAGGAAGCGAGAGCTGCAGAAGCAGCCCCCAGGCCTGGGCTCAGGGCACAGGCTTCTCCGGCCCCTTCCGCTCTCCTCCCCTCACTTCTGTCTCCCATTTCTGTTGCGGCAGAGATGGCATTGAGGGGCTGCGCCCAGACCCGGCCGGCCGGGGCTGTGCGCGCCCACATGCGTGCATGTGTGTACGCGGCACAGCACTTAAAGGTGCTGAGCAGCAGTGCGCGCCTGTGGGTCGGGCCCTTGGATGCGTGGGCGGCCGTGGCGGGAGGGGGGTGTGTGGTTGAGAGGGGCGGTGCAGCGCCGGCCTGCGTGTGTGCCTGTGTGTCCGCACAGCAAGTGCTCGAATCAGCCAAGTGTGACTCCGAGCCCGCGTGTGTGTGTGTGTGTGTGTGTGTGTGTGCGCGCGCGCGCGTGTGCCGCCAGAGAAGCAGCAGCAAGAGGCGGGAGCATCGATCCGAAGGAGCCAGCGCGGGGAGGGACGCGGGGCAGACGCCCTCCCTCCTGTGCGCACCAGGCGCACACACACACACACACGCACACCCGCGCCAGCCGCCGGGCCTCGCAGCAGGCAGCCGGCTCCGAAGCCAGCCCGCGCCGACCCTCGGTGCCGCTTCCCCGGGCCGGGCCCGGCCCGGAGCCGCCCTCGCAGACACTCGCGGGCTCGCGCGCGCGCACCCGCGCCCCGCCCGCCACCGCCGCCGGCCGGACGGACGATGGATCCCTGCAGATCCCGGGGTTGAGAGCTCCGCGCCGCGCGCCGCGCGCCCAGCCCGGGCCGAGCGAGCCGAGGCCAGTGGGCCCGCGGGCGCGCGCAGGCGGCAGGCGGGTGCACCGGAGCCGAGCGGGTCGGGCGGGCCGCTCCCTGCAGGGCTCTGCGCGGAGAGCCGCGGCGGCCGCGGGCTCGGGCTCCGGGCCATGAGCCCCTCGGCCGCTCGGCGCTGAGCCCGCCCCCGGCCCGCGCCCAGGACGTGCCGCCGGCTGTCGGCTTCCTGAAGCTTCCCCCTCAGGTGGGTTTCCGATCCCCTCCCCCTCCCGGGGCCGCAGGGGACTCCCCAGCGGCGCCCGCACTCAGCTCGTGCTGCCCCGGCGGCTAGGTGGCCGAGGAAAGGGCGGGGGCCGCGCGGGGAGTCGGACTGCGACGAGAAGCTGGACCGGGGTTGAGGGGGTAGGGGGTGCGCCCGGGGTGGGGACAGCTCATTGTCATAGTGAGCCGCGCCCCCCGCCCCGTGCATCTACCTCGGGCAGCCCGGCACCCCCTACCCAAGCGTGCACACACACACACACACACACACACACACAGCCTGCGCCTGTGGGAACTGGGGACACCGCAGGTGAGGACCAGGCTGCACCCCTCTACAGCGCATCAGCCTCCTTGGGGTGCTGGCCCGGGTAGTTGAGGAATTGAGACCTGGTTCCTGGGGATCTGTGACCCGGGTTCAGCCCACCTGGGGGAGTATGGGTCTTTAGGAGGGGAGCGTTCCTGTCCCCACAATGACCCCACATCTGGAGGGAACTCCCATGCCTGCTTGTGGGAGCACTGGGATTTCCCCGGCACCTTAGCAGGGCTGTGCCTCAGGTCTTTGCTGGCCTGGGAAGCATCCGCCTCCCACTCCCAGGAAGGGGTTGGGGGGAGCATTCTCTCGGCCTGAGCCAACACACACCAGCACCCCAGCGCCTCTGTCTCTAGAAGCCTCAGGCCTGGGAGGGTCCCTGGGGTAGCCACTTCCTGGCTGGCACACCTGGCAAGTCTGCCCCCCTCAGAAGCAATGGTGTCTGAAAGTGGAGGGTTCTGCTGCTGTGTGCATACCATCGGAGGGGCCCTCTGTGCACTAGCAGCTCAGGACAGACCTCTCTCCCCATGCCAGGATCCCCTGGGCAAGGATGGAACTGAAGGCAGAGGAAGAGGAGGTGGGTGGCGTCCAGCCGGTGAGCATCCAGGCCTTTGCCAGCAGCTCCACTCTGCACGGCCTGGCCCACATCTTCTCCTACGAGCGGCTGTCTCTGAAGCGGGCACTGTGGGCCCTGTGCTTCCTGGGCTCCCTGGCCGTGCTGCTGTGCGTGTGCACGGAGCGTGTACAATACTATTTCCACTACCACCACGTCACCAAGCTCGACGAGGTGGCCGCCTCCCAGCTCACGTTCCCCGCCGTCACGCTGTGCAACCTGAACGAGTTCCGCTTTAGCCAAGTCTCGAAGAACGACCTATACCACGCTGGGGAGCTGCTGGCCCTGCTCAACAACAGGTGTGTACCCCGCCCCTCCACTCACCGCACCCAAGCATTGCAGGTGGGGTGCCCGCTTCCCTTACCCGCCACAGAGCCCCACCAGGCCAGGCCTGCCCTCCAGTTGCACACCATCACCCCTGCCAACTCGCTGTTTGCGGAAGGCACATCGGTGTAACTGCCGAACAGGCGCCCTTGGAGACATGGGTCTCTGATCCCAGTGTGATCCAAAACAGCTTCCCCCATCTTGTGCATGTGGCAAGCTGTGTCCTCCCTCCTGACACAGTGTCTTGATCTGGCTTGGGGGACGGGGACAGAGCGTGAAAGCCAAAGAGCTTGGGCCTTGGTATTCCTGCCCCCTTGGACCCTTATCTCAGCCATGTGCCCACGGGCCGCTGCTGCAGCTGCTTCTGCTTTCTCTGACCCCGCGTGGCAGGCCCAGCTCCTTGCTTGCCTGCCCAGGCCTGGCTCCCACGGCTGGAGGCTGCCCCGTGCAGGTTGGGGATGGCGGGGAGAAGGACCATGGGTGATTGTGCTGACCCGTGTACCGCTCACCCCACCGGGAACTCCAGATATGAGATACCGGACACCCAGGTGGCGGATGAGAAACAGCTGGAGGTCCTGCAGGACAGGGCCAACTTCCGCAGCTTCAAGCCCAAGCCCTTCAACATGCGCGAGTTTTATGACCGGGCTGGACACGACATCCGAGACATGCTGCTCTCCTGCCACTTCCGGGGGGAGGTGTGCAGCGCTGAAGACTTCAAGGTGGTGAGTGAGCCCCTCTGCTGGAGGATGGGGTTCTGCCCCCACCCCAGCCAGGCTGTCCCCCCAGCCCAGGGCTTGTTATTCTAGGAGAGGAAGTGGTGTGTCCTGGCAGGAGGGGACTTTGTTCTGTGGTCTGGGAGCACAACTGCGCTGGGTAAAGGCGTGAGCCTGAGCCTCACCTCCAGGATGGCAGGAAAAGGAACAGATCACCCATGCACACCATCACCTAGGCATCACGTGTGGCCTGGCTTGTCCCCATCACCTAGTCTTACACCTGCTGGGTCACAGGTGTCAGAGTTGGGAGTCGTGGAGGGTCATATACCACCCTGTGGTTCAAAGTGAGATCTGGGTGCCTGTGAATCTTATAATGGAGATGCCCCCACAAACGCTCATGCCCCAAGTATGCCTGCTGCAGAGGTGGCCACAGAGGTGCCGGCTGCTCCCGGCTTGGGCACACAGATGCCGATGGGAATGAACTGGACAGGTATTAGAAGGAGACCCCAGGAGCTGGAGAGCTTTGTGTAACAGCAACAGGAGGCTGGCACTCGCAACTTCAGACCGCTCCTAGGTTCCCCTGCTTGCCTCACTGTGAATAACCACACGGATCCCTCCAGAGGGGTAACTTGCCCGTACCACTGACTGGCTAGTGAGAGGTTCCGGATGAAAACGCGGATCTTGTTGGATCCCAAAGCCCTGAGCTCTTTTTGTTACTTCGCTGACTCAGGAGTGACTGTGCCTACTTCCTGTGCTAGATTTCTCTGTTAAACCCCACTTGCTTCTTTCCCCTGTTCAGATCCCTCCGTTTTGTACCTGCCCGCTTGCACTAAGGGAAAGGATGGTGTGTGTTTGTGTGGAAGTGTTTAGAGCCAGCACTATACTCCCCGTTTGCTGCAGAGGTTACACGAGACTTTGCAACCTCTTTAGGCCGTGCTGTGCAGATCAGCTTCCTGAGCTGTTGCCAGCCCTGCTGGGGACAGGTTACGGGACCATGCCAACAATAGTGGAGCTGTGGGTACAGGTGGACGAGAAAGCCAGAGCCCTCCCTGTGCAACACACTGGGCACACAGGCAGGAGGGACACCTGTTAGTGCTGGGTGGGGGGTGGGGAGAGTGCTCCGCTAAGCCCGGGAAGGTGTGACGTTGGGGTGCAATGGTCCATAGAAGGGGACCGTTCTAGGCCGTCTCGTGGAGCTGTGCTCGGAGTACAAGCTCCCAGAGCGATCTGAATTTCTCCTTTTGCTGGGAGGAGAGACACAGGCCAGCCCCTTGCAGCCCCAGCTGTGGCACTTTTCGATTGTTCCTTGTCAAGGAAAACCAGATTTGGTTGCTTCTCGGTTTATATCAGACATGATCTGGCTGGATCCGAAGCCCCAGCCTCTTTCTCCCTCACCTCCTCTGCTGCTGACCTGCTTGCCAGTCCTTTCTGGGTCAAGAAGCCTGGCATTTTTGTCCCCAGGGATGAGCCCACCGACACAGGAGTCTGGCTGAGGCCGGGTCTGACACCTGCCTGGGTGGGAGGAGGACTCTGCATCCCGAAGGGGCTCACACGTGCCCTGCTGCCCAGCTGAGCCCTGGCTTGCCCCTCCTGCTTTGCTGATTTGACACCCATCTCTCCACCCTCGCCACTTTCTGCTAGGCCCAGAAGTGTGTTGGGGGTGTAGATCTACTCCCAGCAGATGTGGCACTGACCAAAAGCATCTGTCTGTAGGGTCAGAGCTTAGGAGAGAGCATCTTGGCACATCTTGCAGCCCCCAGGGTAAGGTTCTGAACTGGGGGTAGGGGGGTTGTCCAGGCCCTTGCTCAAAATGTTTGCCAAAGAGAGTGTGCTTGTGGACCTTGCTTCCAGATGTTCAAGTGTGATAGGGGTTTCACTCTGACAGCCCAAGTAAGACCCTTGCTACTGGGGGTGCCTGGGGAAGAGAGGAAGAGGGCTCTTCCGCTATGAGAATACACAATGCCAGCCCAGGGAATGGAGTGGTGGGCATAGCAATGAGTGGCCTGGGCCATCTTGGGTGTGTCCGAGTCTGCCTGGAGTGTGGGGATATGTGTGAGGAAGGTTTGGGGATCCTTTAGGCATAGAGGGGCAGAGGGTCCCATGGGGAGCGTCCCCATGGCAGTGTGGTGGGGTGAGCCACTAAATGCCCCTCCTCTCCTGAGGCCACTTCCTTTCCTTCCTGGTGGGGGTCTTGGTTGCCAGGGCAACAGCCTCAGAGTCTGCAGTCTCCGGCCCCACCTTGAGCCAGCCAGGCCGAGGCAGGACAGGGGTTCTGTGCTGGGGAGCTGGGAGGTGCAGCTGCCTGCTGGTGTCTGGGCAGGCGCTAGGGAAGTGAGCACAGTCGCAGCTGGTGCCAGCCTCCAGCTGCCCCTTATCTGTCCCTGGCAGTGGGAGCAGCGATGCGGCTGGAATGTTGAGCAGCACCAACGGGAGGGGGCTGGCAGATGGTGGCCCAGTGCCCCCTGTGCCCCCCCACTCCTCCAGCTGAGATCCAGAGCCTGGGGGAGAGGCAGGAATTTGTTTTTGGACCTAAGTGAGAAGGAAAAGGAGGGCAGACAAAGGGGATTCTGGTGTGTGTGTGTGTGTGTGTGTGTGTGTGTGTGTGTGTGTGTGTGTGTTGGGGGAAGGGAGATAGTCAGTTTATCCTAGGAAGAACTGGAACTGGAGGCCAGGTATCCTTGGGGACCCACAGGAATCCCCTGGGCACCCTGGAGTGGGGATTCCTCTCCCCTAGAGATGAGGGGGAAATCTGTCAAGGCTCCACAGGGGACAGGATTCTCCTGGGGGACTCAGGGAGTTGAGAGGGGACTCTAAGGGACTCCGAGTGGAGACAGAGAGGGCTTCTGAAGGCCAGCAGAGCCAAGGACTACGGCCCAGACAGCCAGGACCGTGCTTTTTCTCCCCAGTGTCCCTTCCTCTCACCGGCTCAGGCCCAGAGGCCCAAGGGAGGGCTGGGCCGGTGAAGTATAGGGGTTACTAGGAGGTGGTGCAGGAAGGCTGGGCAGACTGCTGTGTAGAGGGAGGAAGACGGGCCACAGGAGGTCCACCTGGAAGCCTGGAGATTGAATGCGGGTTGGGACAGCCCAGACTACAGGGGGAAGGAAGGGGCTGCAACGCAGGGCACTCCTCTCCTGGGAGCTCACGACTACATTCCCCTGCCCACTTTGTCCTCCCTGGGAGGTGCTGGAGTACCACAGATGGGACAGGAGCCAGCTTCAGGGGGCCAAGAAACAGATCTCGATTTGGGGACCCTCTTCTCCTTTCCCCTCCCAGACAGCCTTCGGGGAACTGGGTGTCCTCCTTCCCTCCTCTCTCCTCCTCCCTCCGCTTGGCTCCCAAGCCTGCCATCCTCTGAGTGGCTGTGCTGAGCTAATTGATCTCCTGGCTGTTGGGTAAAGTGATAGGGAATTGATGGAAGTAATGAGGTGCCCCTGGGGGCAGCGCGGGAAGTGGAGGCCTGGGGGAGGAGCCGTGCCCAGCCTGGGACCTCTCTCTCTCTCTGCCAGCCTAGCCTGGTGAGCCTGTCATTGCAACCCCAGTGTAGGCGAGGCATGTCCTCCGAAGGGGCTAGGGGCTTGCTTCTTCCAACTTTGCAGGAAGCAGTTATGGTGCTGGAAGTGGTGGTGAGAGAGGAAGGCTGGAGGCTGGGATGAGAAGCTGGTTCCGACAGGCTTAAGCTCCGTCTGTTTGCTCTGTTGATGGCAGAGGCAGAGCCACGGCCGAGCGCTGGGGGTAAGGGCATTGTGGTAGACCATGGACCCTGACCCACCCCTCAGGGAGCGTGGACTGAGGAAGGAGAGCAGACGGGAGCCAGCTCAGCTGCCCGGCCAAAGCTATGGAGACAGCCCCTTGGCTCCTGCAAGGCAAAACTGTACCCCTGCCAGCAGCTGTTCCCCTCCACCCCAACAACTTTCCCTATGTAGATGTCTGGGGTGGCCACTCCAAGAGCCTCTGCCATCTGGCTCAGTCCCTTTCTGTGAGGGTAGAGGCAGAGCCGGGAAGGGACACGACCAGCAAAGGGAGATGGTGTGGCCCCAGGGGGCTGGGCTCTAAGGGGGTGGGGCAGGTCTCCACTTCTAGGCTGCAGGGTTTTTTTTTGTCGGTAGGTGGCCTCTCCCTCAGCCCCCAGGAGACAGAGCTATCCATCTGGGGCCTCGGAGGCCCAGTCCACAGCGACCCACGTAGAGTGAAGTCCCCTTAAGAAGCTGCAAGGACAGACCCTGCAGGCCCCGGCTCTCAGAGGTCAGCTTGGGAGGCAAGGAGAGCACGCTGTGATTGTTCTGCACCCTGGAAGGGAACCCTTTTGACCCTCTCCTCTGCAACCCTCCCTGTGGCCGCCGTGCTGGCCGCTCGGGCGGCTTAGTGTTGTGTGTCTGTAATTGGTGTGGTGCGTCTGCATGCCAGGCTGAGCACAGCCCCCGGGAGAGGCTGGTGCAGCGGCCCTGACCATGGACAGCAGCCAGCCAGCCAGCCGTGCTCACGGCCCCTGTGCCCCAAGTGTGCAGGCACACGTGTGCACATCGCTGTGCGCGTCTGGGGGAGAAGGTGGATGTGGTGGGCTTGTGGGCTGGCACGTATGGCCACCCTCCGCGTGGGCTGTGGGGCTGTGAGGAGAGGGCTGTTTGTGCGGACAAGGCTGGGGTGCAGCAGAATTAACTGTTACAGTGCTCCGCACTTCACAAACTCCTCCTGCTTTCACTCATCTCCCCTCGTGATTCTAAGGTGTAGAAGACATTCGTCTGCACGGGAGAGGTGAGGAGAGGAAGCTCTGGGGTGGCAGGTGGCTTGCCTGAGACCACACAGTCGATAACTGAGGACACCTTACTGCAGGTTTTCTCTCTCTCTCTCTTTTTATAAGAGAGAAGAGAGCCCCCATTTGCCAATTTCTTCCCGCAAATGTCTTTTTAAAGAAAAAAAAAAAACACCTTATTTTTACTTATTTGAAAAGTACAGTTAGGGCCGGCATTGTGGCGTAGCAGGTAGAGCTGCTGTCTGCATCCCATATGGCG